GGAGTTTCTCCAAACGTTGATGGCCCGAGTGTCTTCCAAATGCAAGTTTCTCGCCGCCTTCGGGGCAAGTCTTTCCCCCCCTTCCCTGAAGCAGTCGATTGCAGTTCACAAGAGCTCGCGGTAGCTCAGGAAAGCGACATCGTCTCTAGCGCCTAAGTCCCTTTCCTGCAATGCAAAGCCAAAGCGACTCTGGCTCCGGGACTCTCTGTGGGCGGAATCGGCGCTGAGGAGTTGGTGCAATTATTTTGTTGCAAGGTAGGAAGCCAAGAAGCTTGCATGCAACAGACCGGCATGAATAAATGTATGTTTCTCCCTCCCTCTTGCAAGAAAGGGAGCTGGTTACCGGCAGAGTTCTCCCACTGCAGACTCTCTAAGAAAGAGCGTGCAAGAACTGGAGACAGGGAGGGAGACGGCCCTCTTCCCCTCACTCTGTTTCTCTGGCTGCAGCTTAGAGCAGACCCCAATTCCGCCTCGCGCTTCTTTATCCTTTCGCAGACAGCCAATCAGCCGCTGTAACTAACGCTTCCTCGTGCCAAGCCCCTCCCCTGTCCTTCCCATTGGCTTGGAACCCGATGCAATAATAATCTCCGCGTGCAATGAGAAGCTCCAAATCTGACCTCATTCCAATTTACAGAGCAAACTTTTTAAAAGGGCTAGAAGTACAGCTGAGATTTCTGCTGCCTCTTTTCCCCCCTTTTGCCGTGCGCGCGCGCGCGTGCCTGTGTGTGTGTGTGCGCGCGCCCGCGCGTGTGTGTGTGTGTGAAGAGGATGTTAATGCATGAAGTTATTAAGGGGAAAGACGGAAATGTATTCTAGCCATTATGTTAGATAACAAGGGGCTTGGAGGGGGGGTAAGGGTGAAATACTGTAAATGGAAGCTTTCTGCTTAAAAGCCGAGTGATTATTTTTATTAGTTCTTTTCAGCGCAGGAATAAAGAAACAGCCTTTGGTGCAAAATCTCTTTTCTCAGCTCCTTCTTAAAGCTAGAGATGTAAGTGGGGGGAGCCACAACAATAAATCAATGGATATTGAAAACCATTAAGAAAGTGGTACCTAGACACCTGTCATCACAATTATTTTTAACAACTCTAGGTACAGCACAGACATTGGAGTATTGTGTAAATCCCTTCAGGATGCTATCTGTGCTGTTTGTGAAAGGCAGAGGATTTTTTTTCTTTCAGTAATTGCTTACTCTTTTAGCCAAACAGAGGTTAACTAGTTATTTAATGATTTCAGCTCCCCTATAAATCCTGGGTAGCCCAAACAAGGAGGTTTTCCTTGAAACACTAAGGCAGTGGTCCATAATTACCTCAATAAGAGACTGTGGTTTTGTGTAGGGTGATCATGTTGAATACAGGATGGGAACTGACTTTACTTTCTAAATATTTGTTTTCCACAATTTCCAAAGGATAGATGGGTTCATTATCTGCTTTCCTCCTCCCTTCAGAGTCCTCTCTCTCAGTTCTTTCTTACCAATTTTCGTGTGTGTGTGTGTGTGTGTGTGTGTGTGTGTGTGTGTGTGTGTGTGTGTTACTTGAAGCAAATGGGCCTTGAAGTCCAAGAAAAAGGGGTAGCAAAGTTGAGTGGGGCTGCTGAACTCTTCTTGAGCAGGGGCTGATCTTTCTTTCTGGGTCTCAGTTGTCCTCCTCTGTGCTTTGGGAACCCCATGAGCTTCTTTATAGATGGCTGTTATTAAGGCTCTGTGAGTGTGTGATTATAAACCACTGATGTGTGTCCTGAGCCCTCTGTGAATTCTAACACCCTTTCCTTGGTAATGCAAATGACACTTCTAAAAGCAGCATGTTGTTCAAGAGACTAAGATGGAAGGTGGTCACTGATGGTGAAAAAGTAATCAAAAAGCCCATTTGGCAGTCCTGGTCTGTTATCTCAGCACTTGGGAGATGGCATCCAGAAGATCAAGAATTCAAGGTCATCTTCCTTCACTAAGAATTCCAGGGGTTAGAGAGATGGCTCGGAGGTTAATAGCATTGTCTGCTCTTCCAGGGGACCCAGGTTCAATTCCCAGCACCCACATGGCAGCTCCTAACTGTCTGAACTTCAGTTCCAGGGGATCTGACACTCTAACACAGACATACATGCAGGTAGAACATCAATGCACATAAGATAAAAATAAACAAATAATTAAAAAAAGACTTAAAAAAATTAAAAAAAGAGAATTCCAGGACAGCCTGGGCTACATGCAATCCTGTTTCAAAAAATATGCACATGCCCACACACATGGCAGAGAGAAGGTGCCTGGATATTTACAATATAGAATAAGTTGGTCATACAAATCATCTTCTTCCCAAGATCTGAAAATTGGAATTCTAGTAAAAACTGACCTTTCTTAGTATGATGATAAGCTGGCCGGTGACAGAGAGGAGTCCAACATAGTCAGCTTTGGATTCATAGCAGCATAGTTCTGGCTAGTATATTTCTACTTATCTTGTCACTTTCAAAGTATCCAGGCTGGGAAGAGGCCTAGGGTGTCAGAGGTAGACATTTACTGGAAAGAATACCCTATGGAGACAGCTGTTCAGAACTCTAAGACCAACCACAGAAAAAATGTTTTTGTGGGTAAAAGCAAATAAGTCTTTGACCATTTGCTACCCAGCATAGACCTTTTTATTCCCAGAGGATGAAATCCTAAAATCATATGCACCGCCTCCACCCAAAAATAACTTGCACAAAGAAAGGTATTTTGCACAACAAGGGCAAGGCATATATGTTTTTATTTTTTTTCTGGCACTCACAGATGCACATCCTTAAAATTCTGTCACTCTGACATCTAAATTATCCGAAGAGGTCTATTGTATATGAAATCAATATTTTTATTATCATAAACACAGGAAATATGTATTTCTATAGAATCTGTACTAAATAATATTTGATAATTTAGCAAAGATGAGTGTTGACATAATTTATGGTATTTCCAACGGCATAATCAGCCGTTATAATTATACTCATGCCTAACACAGATTTTATTTAAAAAATGTCAAAAAAGTAGTTCCTGGCTTGATTCTTTTGTTAATGCATTAAAAAAAAAACACACTAAAACCAACTTTAAGTTGTATAATTATGGTATATGCCATCAAAGGAGAAAAAAAAACTTTAAGGAAAAAAACCCACATTCAAAATTAATTAATTAATTTTGTATTTGAATGTACTGCTTGCCACTATTCGTATATGGAGGTCAGAGGACCTTGATGGAGTCATTGCTCTCTTTCCACTTATCTGAGTCCTGAAATTGTTCTTGGGTTGTCAGGTTTGGCAGCAGGAGTCTGTACCAGCTGAGACAGTTCGACAACTGGAAAAAGCCTTCCCTCCCCCCTCCCCCACCATAAGATGTCCCTGTTTCTAAGTTTCTCTTGAAACTGGTGAAATATGGGTTGGTAGCTTCCATTGATTTTTATTACACAATTACAGAATATAAATCTGTAGAATATATACTTGAATGCTTGGACTTACTGAAGTAGGACTGTTTTAGTCGGTAGAGCACTTAGAATGTAACAAAACATGACAAATAGCTTTTAATTAAAGTCATCTTTTCATGAGTAAAGTACACATACATCGGAATGTATTGGGCTTAATACCAAATAATGGGAGAAAGATTTCTGTGTCTCATTACTTAACTTCAAAAGCTTTGTAATCAGTTCTCCATTACTGAATCCCTCCATTCCCCCAAATACCAGCTGTTTGGTGGCCCCTAGTAAATCAGTACTCAGTGTTCCCCCTGCTCTTCTTGTAGCTGTATGAGCAGAAAGCCAAGATCGGTTTGCAAACAAGTTCTGTCTTAGAATAATCAACTAATGGCCTTTATTGGAAGCCATATTAGACCTATCACATTTTGAATTAAGGCAGATATTTGTTTTTTCCATTCAGTGTAATCCACTGACACAAAAGTGTAATATCTGCTAAAGCATCTCTCTTCCTCCTGCACACCTGCATAACATAAAAACCCAACATCCACAAAATGCTATGGGGTATGGATGGAAAGATTTACCTCCACTGCTTAATGTGTTCCTATAGCTCCAAGAGAGGAAAACCTGGATGGAAATCGGCTTCCCAAATCTGGTTTGGCTCTATTTTCCAAGATTTCTGCTTGGTTTTGGCTGCATAGACTGTGATTGTACAAGCTGCTCTGGCTTGAGTACTCAGTTCAAATAAACAGAGGTGGGGAGGCATTGCTGTTAATTTTGTTGACTGGAAAGTGCTCTGGGAAACTGAATACCATCAGCCCTGTTTTCAGTTTCACACCGAAAGAACTCTCCCCCCCCCCTCACCCATGCATGCACCCTATGCCAGGGGCTGAAGAAGTTGTATTGAAACTGGATTAGGGGAAGACTATTGAAACATACTGATTCTTGAAGTTTTGTTTGTGAGCCTTAGCCTTATACAGCCCAGCTATCTCTCCAGCCCAATATGTCTAATTTTTATTTGAATAAATATTAAGCAAGATAAATGAAATCTGTCATTTATTTTCACAATCAGAATACACAGAGATAAGAAACATGTATTTCTAATAATTTCACCACTTTCTCATCCCTCGTAGCCAACAGGCTCAAGTCAGCTCTTCACACCCGTGCCAGTCAGTGTCAACACATTTTTCCTTTACTCTTGAGAATACGCAGAAACGAGTGTTTGCATGGGCCACAAAGATACGAAGCATTAACTGGGGCTTCTGCTCTGTTTCCCCAGACAGGCCTGGCACACCCACCTAGAACTGTGGCGCTGCTGAGTGCAGACGGCGCCTCCCAATCCGGGAGAAGCAGCCGCCAGGTGGCAGCGCTGAGCCTGCCTGAGCCTTCAGCAACGTGGGAAAACGGGGGGTGGAGGGGGGGGAATCCAACTGTCTCTTCCTGGTCTCCGAACCAGTTAACCCCCCAACACTTCACCTTCTCTAGGAAGCTGTTCAAAGGACCAGTGCGAAACAGGGCGTGTTGGTGAATTCTGGGCATTTTCCCCCGTATGTCAAAGTTTAGGGTAACCAACCTCTGCCCTCTGATTGCTTGTCGGAAACCCCCAATGGCAGGGCGTAAGCCGAGATTCCCGGCTTGGGATCTGGTAACCTCACTCGGGAGGTCACGGGTGCCCGCGCCCTGGCCATCTCCCTCGGGCGGGAAGGAGCAAGAATGCGTTTTCTCCGCCAGCTGCGCTCTCCGCTCCGGAGGCGGCAGCGACACAAGGCGCATGACCAAAGGAGTCCCAAAGGCCATCCCCGCTCCTGAAAAGAAATGGTTTCCGTGGCCCGGCATGCCTCGCCGGGCGCAGCGACAGGGGTCCTGCCCGAGCTCGCCTGGGACTCCGGGTGCACCGGCGGAGCCTCTCCTTTCTGTGACTCTCACAGAGAGGAGCTAAATTGCAATCAACTCCGCTCCTGCTTTTCGGAGGAAAGCCTTCCCTACTGTAAACGTGGCGGGTGATGCTCGCAGCGGCGTTTCAGCACGGTCTTCCCGAGGAGGTTCATCGCCAGGCAGGCTCTGGCGACGCCCCCAGCCCGCTCCAGCTCCCGGGCCTCCTTTGAAGTCGCAGCTGGAGCAGCCACTGCGGGAGGCGGGAAATCCTGCCCAGCCCCTCCCCCGCCGCCAGCTTGGACCTGGCCACTGGGGCCCAGTTCCGCCACTGACCGGAACCAACAGCCATTTGGTTCCTTTGAGCACTCGGGTGCCAAGCATACCCTCACCCTCCGTGAGTCTCTCTTGGACCAAACAGTGCGCACTCAGCGTCCGGGAATCATGTTTCAGCTCCCGCAGGGACCGGTCCCGGCGGGAGGGGCAGTGCACCCGTTGTGGCTCG